ATGTTATTGGAAGGGTTTATTGATTAGCCATTTGCTAACGCAAATCCCTATAATTTCCTAATAATAAAAAATAAAAAAAGGGGGCATCTTAGATTAAAGAAAATATATGTCACATACGTTTTTGAGGAATAAATTAAATATTTATAAATTCATATAATTTTGCGCAATTAATTAAAGGTACTGTTTTTACAGGCGTTGTAGGGTGCTAATACCTTCCCTACATGTAATCGACTCCCGAACCCAACTTTAATTTTAAAGATTATCTTTTAAAGGATTTTCCAATGTTTTTCCCTTAAAATAAAATATTGGTGGCGGCTCCATTGAAAAATAAAAATGTTAGCGTCATCCCGTCGTGATCCCGGTTACGACAGATGGCGACTCCGGGGCATCTTAGATTAAAGAAAATATATGTCACATACGTTTTTGAGGAATAAATTAAATATTTATAAATTCATATAATTTTGCGCAATTAATTAAAGGTACTGTTTTTACAGGCGTTGTAGAGTGCTAATACCTTCCCTACACGTAATCGACTCCCGAACCTAACTTTAATTTTAAAGATTATCTTTTAAAGGGTTTTCTAATGTTTTTCCCTTAAAATAAAATATTGGTGGCGGCTCCATTGAAAAATAAAAATGTTAGCGTCATCCCGTCGTGATCCCGGTTACGACAATTGTCTAGCGAATTTTCTGCTCGGTTACTCTCGTAGTACTATTGAAGTAAAAAAAATAAAAATAAAATGGTAAGGACAAGTGTATTTTTTCTATAATTTAGCCCAAAAATAATTGTTTACCAATACTTTGTGTTAGATTTGTCTTCCATTACTTTATATAGGTTTTATCTAATAAAATTAAAATTTATATATATACATACAAAGAGATTAAATGTTATCGATATAATTTTTATTAATTATTACATCTTTTAATAATTTTATATTAAAAATAAAAAAAATTATTACATCTGTTAAATGTACGTTTTTTTCTCTTAAATCTTGTCACTAAAAAAAATTATTTATTAGATTACTTTTTAATTGATACTACATTCATATAAATCAAAATTAAGATAATATATGTATTTTAAAATATATTAAATTATAAATATTTAAATTATTTTTAATTATTATTCAATTTTAATAAAATTGGTGAATATCTTGATTATAGATTTAAAATTAAACATTAATTACAATACAACAATTTTTATTTTCATATTTTTAAATGTGAAAATATTTTGATCTAAGAATAGATCAATTTTACAAAATAATTATATGATAAAATATCAGCAAATGAGTACAAAGTCAAATACTTTTGCACCATTGTAAACTGATGAGTTTTCATATTCTTTTATTTTATCACATTTTGCACATGCGTGGGGTTTGAAAACTGACGAAATGTTTAAGTATTAAGATTAGGATGAGAAGCAAACCTTTTCCAAGACATAGGATGGTTTGTGTTCAGTGTCTGGAATTACAGCTGTTAAGAAAACAGCAACAGCTACCTTTTCTGGGAATTTGTCCATTGCAAGTGCTATGCTGAGTCCTCCAAGGCTGTGACCAACTAGAACTATCTTCTCATTTTGGGCAAGTGTGGCCAATAGCTGCAACAAAGGTTCAGAATACTCTGAGAAAGTAACAACATCTTCTATTCTCTTCATGTTGATGCCAGAAGCTGCAAGATCAAGCACTGTGACCTTGTGTCCTGCAGATTCCAAGAGTGGCTTGAGCTTATACCAACACCAAGCTCCATGGCAAGCCCCATGCACCAGAACATAATGCTTCCTATCCATACAATTTCCTAACCCATGATGTTTTTTTTTCTTCTTTTTTTCCAGAGGGTACTTTGTATAGACAGTACTGAATTGTGTCTTTGGCGTCTTTTTGTTTGCAAAAGGTCGAATTATTCGCTCAAAATAGTCAAACTACATGTGCATTATTTTCTTTTTCATTGTATATGACTTTTTGAACTTTGTAGGTAATTTCTAAAATTATTTATGTAAATAGAATTATTTTGTATTTTTTTTTTATGTTTTTGAGACTATTTTATATAATGTCCATAACGATTTAGGTGGCATGAGTATTTTTTTTAAAAAAATTTTAACGAGTCGTTTGAAGATAATCTATATATGTGATGACATATTTCAATGGTAGCACTTGCGTGGGGTGGAAAAAATGAGGAATTTTTTTAGCATGATGAAGTGGATGAGAAGCAAACCTTTTCCAAGACATAGGATGGTTTGTGTTCAGTGTCTGGAATTACAGCTGTTAAGAAAACAGCAACAGCTACCTTTTCTGGGAATTTGTCCATTGCAAGTGCTATGCTGAGTCCTCCAAGGCTGTGGCCAACTAGAACTATCTTCTCATTTTGGGCAAGTGTGGCCAATAGCTGCAACAAAGGTTCAGAATACTCTGAGAAAGTAACAACATCTTCTATTCTCTTCATGTTGATGCCAGAAGCTGCAAGATCAAGCACTGTGACCTTGTGTCCTGCAGATTCCAAGAGTGGCTTGAGCTTATACCAACACCAAGCTCCATGGCATGCCCCATGCACCAGAACATAATGCTTCCTTTGTGTACAATTTTCTGAACTCATAATATGTTGTTTTCTTCTTGTTGTGGTTAATTGTTGGTTACGGCTACTGAATATGATCCTTATTCCTTTATATAGACAACTAAAATTCGCCGGCGGGTTTGGTGAATTGGCATCATGTTGAGGGCGGCTTTGATGCTTAAAACAACTCGTATTGTTATTTTTTAAAATAAATGGTTTCTTTTTCCAGAAAGTTATTAAATAAAAAATATCTTAATCTCAACATATAAATTAATTTGAACGCACACCTTTACTGGGTAAAGTTGACAATTACAAGTTGCATCTTTTAAGACTTTGATTGAGTTAATTAAATAGGATGAAATTTTTGACCTATAAATGAGATTTTGAACGTGATGACTTTTAGTTTCACCTTACGTCAACTGAAGTTATGTTTGTCGGTTTGAGTGGAACCGATATCAATTCTGTTAATTAAGGTTTCAATTTTGAATCTCAAATTAGAAGAAAATATAAAGGTGACTAATGAGGTTTTTTTTTTTTAAATAATTTTTATTTACAAAATCGGTTAATAATTCACATTAATAATATGATTATAAAAAAAATATTGAAGTAACACTTAATTATTATATATAAATATTCTATTTACGTTGGAAAATTAATTCTGAATGAAAAATTGATTTGTGGTTGAAGTAATCAAAGTAGTTTTTACGTTGGACAAAAATATGCATGATATACTAAATTTTATCATTTACTAATAAAACTCAAGATAATGTTGTTTTCTAGTTCATTCTAATGATTTAATATGTGGAATAGATTGGAAAAAAAAATACTTTAGGTGAAAACTTGTATACTTGTTTCTGCGCTATTAAAAATTGCTTAGTACTTTCCATAACGCGGTCCCTTTCGGCAATACCTAACATGGGTTTTTTCTATTCATTGTTTCATACAAACCCAGAAGATTTCGTCATTGCTTAGCACGTAGCACTTTATGTAATGTTTGACTGCGAAATATGCACTAGAGCCGTAGAGCTATTGTTTGCATTGCTTTACTTTCCTGTTTGTGGGGAAGTTACATTTATGAGTTCTTTTTATTTGAACTAGCACAAAGTTATTTCAATTTAGGTATATACGAAATTAAGCCTATTAAGAATGGAGACAATGATAGGATTAGCGCAACTAATAGGAACATATTTCCAGATATTCATCAACGATTATAAAGCAATAATTTTCATGCATGTAAACACTTATATAAACTGAGTGAGTGATACATAGATTGACAATACAAATCATTATCCAAATCACATAAATGCAGATTACAAAGTGTAACGATTTTAAGAGTAGCAGGCTATGAATACTACAAACTACGCTACGAAACTAAACGAAACTAAATTAATCCTAGAAATAGAAAGAAAATATGGCCAAGAAGTTGTCATACTCAACAATTCCATGCACAGAAGCCATATATAGAACTAAACGAAACTAAATTAATCCTAGAAATAGAAAGAAAATATGGCCAAGAAGTTGTCATACCTAACAATTCCATGCACAGAAGTCATATGCTCAGGCGGTGAATGCTTATGAGAGTGCAAGTATGATTCTTTTGACCCTTGTACACAAGATTGCCTCTTCCATTTATAGAAATGATCGAGAGCGGTTAATCTTGTGTGGGCTCAACGTGGGTGCATAACTGTTGTCCATTACATAAATCGCTTGGCTTTAAGTGTAACTCCTTATAACCACCTGTCCCACGTGCTTTTATCCCTTTGACACCTGATGTAGTAACTTCTATGTCGTAACTGCTAATCTACCCAAGCAACCTCTAACAACCTCTCTCCGTTTTATCATTTCGAGCCAACCTCGAATACCTATGCCTATAACCCATCCTGATTCCATATGGTAGGTATCCCGTTGGTGCCAAATTTTCGAGTAGTGAGTCTTTTATTCGAGTGACCCCAACAAATGCCCCCCTAGGAATTTAGTCTTGTGCCAGGGCGAGGGAAGATTGAATTCCTATTCCTTTTCGATAGACATTGATTCGATTTCTCCTTTTGGCTAAAGAACAAACTCCATATTTCAACTTTTCGACAGAAACCTAATTTGAAGCACCATTAAATGTGGTTACCGTTGTATTTAAAATTTTACTACCCCTCATAAATTTGACGGGGCCCATTCGCGTTTTTCTATACTCCTGTCCGTTGATTTGAAGCGTGATTTGAAACGTTTGATGGTTGATCTGACCTGTTGGCCCATTTTACTTAGGCCCGTTAGCATTGTTTAAAAGTCTCACTTAGGGTAAAATTACTTTTACCAATTTCATTATGCACACGGATCTCTTTCTTCTCCAACTCTTTCCGGTCTTGCTTTTCTTGCTGCTCTTCTTGCTTCTCGTTGTTACTATGGCTTCTTCTGCAACATCCACTTCGGCCACTGTGGTTTTCTGGGAGTACAATCTGTTTATCTTTTAACAAAATATCAAATATTTTATCAGCTTTTGTTACATCGAAACTATATCATTTTGTTGTGCCCCCTTCTAAATTATCTCCTGATTTTACCATCTGACATTGATATGTAGGACCAGGACGTAATTCAGCTATGTTTACTTCGAAATCCTCACTCATACCCTCATAATTAGCGTCCTCACTGATCTCTGCATTCTCTATATAAGCAACTTTTTCTTTTCAAATGAACCTATCGAACTTTCTTAATTTTTCTTTCTCTATCTTAATCTGTTCGATCCTTCTCACTTTTTCTTCTAACTGGGCCATATCCCTTAACTTTTCATTCACTAGTTTTTTACGAATTGAAAAATCTAACCCTGTAGTAGAAATTTTAACCAATTCATGTTCAGGTATGTTGGTATAACATCGGGATTTTAATTGCCTGAACCTATTCAAATAGTCGTCTAATGTTTCATGATTTTTCCTTTTTATGTTCATTAAATCAACTAGACTCACTTTAGTTTCTCCTTAAAAAAATGCTCATGAAAATTTCATTCTAATTGAGCCCAAGTATTTATCGAATTAGGAGGTAAAGTTGTAAACCATGTAAACGCATGTTTAGTCAAAGAACTTGGGAAATACTTCATCTTTAAATATTCATTGTTCCCTAAATCCCCGCATTCGACTAAATACCTTGCTATATGTTCGACAGTAGACTCATTCAATTCTCCCACAAATTTCGAGAACTTTGGGGTTTTTACCCCTCTAGGCAGTTCTACTTGGGTTATGTATTCTGGGAAGGCAGATACAAAATAAGGACGCTCATTTCGTCCTATCTTGAACCCATGCCTGTTTAATATCCTCTCTACAACTTGATCTAAATTTTTCTCGCGGTTCCTATGAGGCCTACCTAGATTTTGGGGAAAACCTCCATTCCCAACATGATTTTCTACTTCATCTCGAAGGCTAATTATCTCTCACTTTATCTCCTAATTTGTTTATTAACTCATATAATGTCATGATTACTATGGTCCATTTGTTGTCGAAGGGCTATCATAGCTTGATTACTTATACCTGTGGGGACATAGTTACTTTGTCGAACCAGAGACCCTTCTTGCCTAGTACCCACATGTTCGTAAGGATCTTGCATAACAAAACCCATTCCGTGTGGAGCAGGATTGTACCCTTGTGGGGATACGTGCAGTTGTGGATTTAGCCCTAAATAAGGCAAAGGCATCTCGACATGTATGGGTTGGGTGGTTCGCCAATTTGGAGGCATACCCCATGGGTATTCTCGAGTGGCATTTAAAAATTCTTAAGATACAGTTATTTGTCTAGCCACATTTTTAGGTACTACAGGAGGCGGCTTTGCCCCCGTTGTTAAGACAGTTACATTTTCCAAATTAGGATTTGAATTTCTATTTTCCATATCTACTGGAACATCGTTATTCACCTCTCTAGATGTAGACATGGTTCTTCCACTCCTAAGTCTCATACAACATACCTAAAACTAGTTTCAATTATGTTTCAAATACAAAACAAGTCCCACCGGGCGTGCCAATTTGTTTGTGGGGAAGTTACGTTTATGAGTTCTTTTTATTTGAACTAGCACAAAGTTGTTTCAATTTAGGTACATACGAAATTAAGCCTATTAAGAATGGAGACAATGACAGAATTAACGCAACTAATAGGAACCTATTTCCAGATATTCATCAACGATTATAAAACAATAATTTTCATGCATGTAAACACTTATATAAATTGAGTGAGTGATACATAGATCGACAATACAAATCATTATCCAAATCACATAAATGCGGATTACAAAGTGTAACGATTTTAAGAATAGCAGGCTATGAACTACGAACTACACTACGGAACTAAACGAAACTAAATTAATCCTAGAAATAGAAAGAAAATATGGCCAAGAAGTTGTCATACCAAACAATTCCATGCACAGAAGCCATATGCGCAAGCGGTGAATGCTTATGAGAGTACAAGTATGATTCTTTTGACCCTTGTACACAAGATTGCCTCTTCCATTTATAGAAATGATCGAGAGCGGTTAATCTTGTGTGGGCTCATCGTGGGTGCATAACCACTATCCATTATGTAAACCGCTTGGCTTTTAGTGTAACTCCTCGTAACCACCTGTCCCACGTGCTTTTATCCCTTCGACACCTAACGTAGTAACTTCTATGTCGTAACTGCTTAATGTACCCAAGCAACCTCTAACAACCTCTCTCCATTTTATCATTTTGAGCCAACCTCGAATACCTATGCCTATAACCCATCCTGATTCCATATGGTAGGTATCCCGTTGGTGCCAAATTTTTGAGTAGTGAGTCTTTTATTCGAGTGACCCCAACATTTCCAAAATAAAATAAATATATATTGGGTCTACTTCAAAGTAAGGGACGATGATCATTGAGCCTCGGGTGACATAAGGACAAAGGTGAAGGATACTTGGGACATCTCCAATGGAAGCAACTCATTAAGCAAATTTACTCTAATAGTAAGAAACTTTAAGAAATTCAACTTTTAGAATTGTTTTTCTAATTATTTATGAACCAAATTTAAATTTTTATTAAAAAGGACAACTGCACTACAATGAAAGAAAATAAATTATGAGAAAAAATACACAATAA